TCCTGTGTGGGGGTGAGAGGAGGTTTTTGTCGGATGATCGAAGGTTGCGGGAGGGAGCGTGGTGGTGGAGCATGTCCGTGAGGTAGGAGGGGGCCTGGCTGTGGAGGGTTTTGTGGGTGAGGAGGAGGATCTTGAAATTGATTCTGTACGGGACAGGGAGCCAGTGTAGGTTTTGCAGGACAGGGGTTATATGTTCACGGGAGCTGGTGTGGGTGAGGAGGCGGGCGGCAGAGTTTTGGATGTACTGAAGTTTGTTGAGGACTTTGGATGATGAGCCGTAGAGGATGCTGTTGCAGTAGTCCAGTCTTGAGGTGATGAAAGCATGGATGAGAGTTTCAGCGGCAGAGAAGGAGAGCAATGGACGGAGACGGGCAATGTTTCTAAGGTGAAAGAAGGCAGTTTGGGTGAGGCGGCTAATGTGATGTTCAAATGAGAGGTTATTGTCGAAGATGATACCAAGGTTATGGATGAATGGGGAGGGAGAGAGGGTGGTGTTGTCAATGCTGAGGGTGAAGTTTTGTGTTGCTGTAGAGAAGGATTTTGGGCCGATGAGTATTATTTCAGATTTGTCACAGTTGAGTTTGAGGAAGCTGGCTTGCAGCCATGATTGGAGTTCAGTCAGACAGTTGGTGAGGGTAGAGCGGGTGGCCGGGGTGATGGATTTTGTGGAGATGTAGATTTGGATGTCGTCAGCGTAGCAGTGGAAATGGAGACCATGACGACGGATGATAGAACCAAGTAGATGATGAAGAGGAGAGGACCAAGCACCGAGCCCTGAGGGACACCTTGAAGCAGGGGGACGGTGGAGGAGGTGCAGTTGTTGACGTGGATGAACTGATGTCTGTCGGTGAGGTATGATTTGAGCCAGGAGAGAGCAGAGCCAGTGATGTTGAGGGAAGTTTGTAGGCGGGACAGCAGAGTAGTGTGGTTGATGGTGTCAAAGGCAGCAGTGAGGTAGAGGAGGATGAGTATGTTGAGGTGGCCAGAGTCGGCAGAGAGGAGGAGGTCGTTAGTGATTTTGAGGAGGGCGGTTTCAGTACTGTGTTGAGGGCGGAATCCGGATTGAAATGGTTCATATAGTTCATGAGAGCGGAGGTGGGTTTTGATTTGGGAGGCGACAACACGTTCCAGAATTTTTGACAGAAATGGAGGGTTCGAGATGGGACGGAAATTTGAGATGACGTCAGGGTCCGGGCCGGGTTTTTTGAGGATGGGGGTGACAGCGGCCAGTTTCAGGGATTTCGGGATAGAGCCAGAGGTGAGGGAGGAATTAATGATGGTAGTGATGAGTGGGGAGATAGTTGGGAGGCAGACTTTGATGATGGATCCTTTTTTTGGGTTATTTTGTGTCTCTTTGCAGTTGCTTTGCATCTCTTTGTAGTCATTTCGTGTGTCTTTGAAGTTATTTTGTATCTTTTTTTGGTTATTTTGTGTCTCTTTGAAGTTATTTGTATCTTTTTTTGGTTATTTTGTGTGTCTTTGAAGTTATTTTGCATCCTTTTTTGGATTATTTTGTGTCTCTTTGTAGTCACTTTGTGTGTCTTTTAAGTTTTTTTTAAATTGTTTTGTGTCTCTTTGACATCACTTTGTGTCTCTTTGAAGTTATTTTGTGTGTCTTTTAAGTTATTTGTATCTTTTTTTGGTTGTTTTGTGTCTCTTTGTTGTCATTTTGTGTCTGAAGTTATTTTGTATCTGTTTTTGGTTATTTTCTGTCTCTTGTAGTCATTTTGTGTTTCTTAGAAATTATTTTGTATCTTTTTTGTTGTTGTTTTTTTGTGTCTCCTTGTAGTCATTTTGTGTCTCTGAAGTTATTTTGTATATGTTTTTTCATTATTTTGTGTCTCTGTAGTCATTTTGTGTCTCTTTGAAGTTATTTTGTGTGTCTTTTAAGTTATTTGTATCTGTTTTTGGTTAATTTGTGTCTCTTTTTAGTCACTTTGTGCAGCTTTGAAGTAATTTGGATCTTTTTTGGTTGTTTTGTGTCTCTTTGTAGACATTTCTGTCTCTTTTAGGTTATTTTGTGTCTTTTTTGGTTGACCTGTTTTTAGTCATTTTGTGTGTCTTTCTGCTCAGTGTGTGTTCATTTGAGTGACATTTTGTAGGTTAGGGGTGGGGGGGAGGCCGACACATAAGTCCACTCAGTTATTCATCCATACAGCGTGCAGTAACAGGGTACAATGACAGACAGACAAACATAGTACGGTCTGTGCTGTAGCAGCAGAGCATGCACTATTTTCTTTATCATCAAACGTACGCTGATAAAGACAAACCCACATCAAGTTACTAAGTTTCTCACGTTCATTTGCCAAACTTTGTTTTGTCAGCCGCATTGAGGGGAGCACCAGAAGTGGATCAGACCTCTACATCTTCTGCAGAGGAGCTAATGATGGAGCAACTGCAGCAGTGCCAAAAAGAGCGCCATGATGTGGACCTGATGCTCCACACCGTCACTCGAGGTGATTCACACTTTCCTCTCTGATACAAACATCTGACATGCTGCACATTACATCTCAAACTGTCTGTTTACAGTCTCACACACACACTTTGGGTTCTCTAAAAGATGGAAATGAAGTTGATGTGTCGTTTCTGGTTATTATGTTTTTGTGTGTGTGTGTGTGTGTGTGTGTGTGTGTGTGTGTGTGTGTTCCTGCTGTGCGTAGACTCCAGGTGCAGGTTGTGTCCAGACGGCTGGCTGTGGTGGAGGAGTCACTGCTACTTCTTTTCAGTGGGGCTTCAGGACGATCGTAAGTGGAACGAGAGCGCAGAGTTCTGCCTGCAGCACAACAGCAGCCTGGCTGTGATCAAAGACTCTGCAGAGATGGTAACTTTGCACAGTGTCAGAGCATGTAACCAGACAGAAAACATCAGGTGGCATCAGTGTCCTCTAAATATGTCACTTCCTCCTCAGGAGTTTATCCAAGGTGTGATGGAAAAGTTCCCTCGGTTCCCCTTCCTGTGGGTGGGACTGACAGACACCAAGCAGGAGGGTCGGTGGCTGTGGACGGACGGGACGGACATCCAGCACTACATGCCGTGAGTCCAGATCTACACACAGTTAACAGGATGAAGGTTTTTGAATTATAGAAATGTTGAACATCTGAGAACAAAGGTGACAGGGAAGATAGAAAGGAGAATATTCTGTATCAGCATCTGTGGAAACTGCAGAACTTCAAACTTTATTTATTTATATAGCACCTTCTATACAAACAGGCAGCCTAAATGGCTACACATGGCTAGATTAAAACTACCCAGACAAAAAATAAATAAATAAATAAATAAATACATTTTTAAAACACTAAAAATCACAACAACAAAACAATAAAATGTTAAAAATCAATAACTAAATGTCAACAGAAAAATATGAAATAATGTAAACCAATTATTAAAACTTGAAAACTAACATTACTCCAAATTAAAAGCCAGATTAATAAAATAGGTCTTTAATTTCCTTTTGAAAATACAGAGAGCTTGAAAGAATGGAGAATACTGATGCCACTGATTTATTTGTTGAGCTTTGAGAAAATTCCTCACAGTGAGATACTGTAAGTGAAGTATTAAATTACTTTTTTCCCTACTGAATCCACTAAAACCAGATTTAAATTACAAACACAGCGCAAACTGAGGAGTGAGGAAACAAAATGTGCCTGTTTAATTCAGCAAGGGATCAATAAATATAGAAAATTATTTGTGAACCTGTTATCTATAATATTGTAAAATATGCATGTATCTCATGTTAGATATATATATATATATATATATATATGTGTGTGTGTGTGTGTGTGTGTGTGTGTATATATATATATTTTTTTTTTGGTAAATACAACCAACAATATTTGTTAAGAAGCATTAGCTGTATTTTTTTTTTGATAAACTCATAAGGAGCGAGAAAATTTTATTTATTATTATTTTTATTTTTTTATTTTTTCTTTTATCCAAAGGGGGGATTTCAGCATTTTAGCAGCATTCAAATCAGAAAAATAATATTTAAAAAAAAAAGGTAATACTTTATTTTATCGGTTTGTAATTGATTAAATTTCTTGAAGAAGTGCTATGGAAAGACCTATGTCATTATAAGAAAAACAAGAGAAGCTTATTTGTCAGGAATTTGTTGAATTTATAAGCACTGATTTCCAGAGGAATTTTCTTAAAAGAAAATATAAGATAAGATAAATATTTACTGCTCCAACACCGGGGAAATATACGTGCTACATCAGCTCAAGAGTTCAGAGCAAAAGAAAATGTGATTGAGTGATAACTAAAATTAAAGCAGCTGTGCGTAACTTTCAGTTTTCGTTGATTATAGCGCCCCTTTTGGTCGAAGTGGTATGACACCCACAGCCTGGTGTCGTAAAATTCCGGCTGCAGCTTTCGGCTTCATTTGTAAAATCTCAACTGCAACCGGCAATAACCGCATGCATTTGTTTTGGAGAGCGAGAGGAGAATCATAAATGTTCTGGTGTAGCTCTGAATTTCTTATAAACTGAGGGAAAACTGCCTGCTGTATATTTGTAAAGTAAATATTCCATTTAATTATTATTATTAGATACGTTGTTCTTCATACTGTGTCTGTTGAATTTTATTACTGTAACTGTTGTTACTTGTTTTGCCCCCTCACCTACCTCTGCATATTTTCCAATTTAATGCACATTGTGTGTACGTGTATGCATGTTGGTTTGTGTGTGTGTGTCAGCATGTGTGTGCCTGTTTTATGTATTACATCATTTGTGGAGATGTGTCTTACATGGTGTATTGCATATGTGTGTATATCATGGTACTTGTTTGGGGAAGTTAGTTAACATGCTAATGTTGAGTCTGATTTTGGGGCCAGAGTGAGGCTTAGCCAAGACTATGACCCCCAGATATGTATATGTGTGTTACACATGTTGTGTATATTTGTTGCAATAAAAACAGACTTCAGCTCTTTAGATACTGATAGAAAACACATCTTTGACGTGTATCTGTGTTTTTTTCTTCAATAATAACACACATACCTCATGACATTTTAGTTCAGTTTGCTTTTATTACAATAATATATACAAGTATATACATATATACATAGATATACACATACATGCAACTGATTGTATCCGTCTAACATCATCACCACGTACTCTAAATATGTAAATACAGATCATATTTATTTGCACGCTAACATGTTGCCCTCTTATCAGTTGTGTTTGTGTGTGTGTGTGTGTGTGTGTACTAAAGGGTGACGGTGCAGTGGGACACTGATCACAGGGACTGTGCAGACCTGAGGGGAGGTGGGAGTCTTTTTGCCGCCAGCTGTGAGTCATACGGACCCTGGGCTTGTAAGAGAGACTCCTGACACACTTCAACACACATTTAAGCTTTCTTTATGTACAACATGCTGGTGTTTTATACCAAGGATTTGATATGTTACAGTATTTGGAAATCCTACTTAAGCTACACTTTGTCATGCAACGTTATGTGTTCTCTTGAAAGACAAAGTCAGCATTGCAGGAGGCAAAAGTGATCGTCGTGTTTGTCTAAAGACTTTTTCAAAGAGCTTTACATTTGTAGTTGATATGTCGGTGGGATAATATCTGCTTCTCTTAAATGCTGAAGTATTTTGGGAAGTGTAATGTGATGTTAGGAAAAAGTCAGATAAGAATCAAAGACAACATGATATGTACAGGAAATATTTATTAGATGCTTATCACAAAGTGCGTTTTAAAGTGCATGCATGTATGTAAATGCAGAATGTGTTCACACTTTCATGTCCACAGATATATATTAATGTAGAAAATTAAAACCCTGCTTTTCAAAACTTTATTTTTTTTTAAATAAATACTTTTATATTAACTCAGAGTTGGGTTTCACTTTAGGTTCTCTTTCTTACTGTCTGTCTGATAAGAATCTCCACTTCTATCATTAGTATGATCAGATACATCTATTTATAATATCATCAGCACTGTGATACAGTTATGTCTACCACTGTTCAAATTCAGGTTTGAGCTGACGCTTAAGAGATTTTAAATTCAGCTTAAAGATGAGAAACTGACATATTTTTACAGCAACATATAGGTATGGAAGATTCATGTGAGACCCCAAATATTCTTGTAGTTTTGTTAAGTCATTTCTTCCAGGCATCCGATAAGAGTCGTTAAAGCTCATCTATTTCAATATTTGTATGCTTGATTGTCAAGCGTGTGCGACCATCCAGCGGGGCGAACAGAGGATACAGCTTGCCTTTGAAGTTTCCAGTGAAGGTGTAGATGTGGGACTTTGTTTCTGCGTTGTAGAAGGAGATCTGGCCCTCTTCGTAGTCCAGGTAGACTCCCATACGTTGAGGCACAAGGCTGATGGGCAGTGTAGTCTCCTCCTTGGTGCATGCATAGAACTGGTTTGCGCTGCGCCACAGGGTCCAGTAGCCCTGGTTTGGGGTCATGGGGCACCGGCCGTGACGCTTGGAGTTGGCGGTGGTCAGTCCTATGCGCCAGCAGCCCTTGTTGGCTATGTCTACCTCCCAGTAGTGGCGGCGGCTGCTGTAGCCCTCCCAGCCCAGCACGCAGGGCCAGCTGTCAAAGCGCTGGGAGCTGTAAGGCAGGTCGGCCTCTGAGCGGCCTTCTTGGACCATACGCTGGTTCTCTGACAGCTGCAGCCAGGGGTGGTTGGTCTTGGGGTCCAGAATCACATCAGCTGTTGAGAAAAGAGAGCACAAATGAGCGTGTCATCCTCTGTAATATGCAAAGACTGTATAAAAGCAGTGGACGTAGCCTCCGAGTCTGAAATGAGAGGCCAGTGCAGAGGAGCCTTAAACCTGCATTCTCTCTAATGGCCAGCAGGGGGTGACTCCAAATGACGCCACTTCTCACTTGATTTATTACCTCAGTAATCATTTTCCCGATCAGTTTATGGTCTCAATCACTGGTTTCAAGTCTTCTTTAATACAGCCTGATGTTCGTTTAGTAAATTATGGCTACATTTAGAGTAAAATAGATGAGAAAGCAGGGTATGCTTTAGAGCGTGGCTACGTCATTAAAAAGTTAAAAAGTTAAAAAGTTGCTACCACAGCAACCTGCCAATCAGGATAGATGCGTCACTAAACTTGTGTCCTCCACAGCTCCACACTCATCTAAATGTGGCCGCTTCTGGCTCTGAAAAAACAAGATGGCAACGGCCAAAATGCCAAACAGTAGTCCACAAATCGATGGGCAACGTCTGGGTAGCTACATCCACGTCTCTTATACAGTCTATTGATCTATGTGAGATAAGATGAAGATAAAGTGTAAGTTGTTCTTACCTTCTGCGCTGCAAATCCAGCTCCAAACTGAAATCAGAGACAAAGAGATTATATTAAAGTTGCAGTGAATAAACAAAGAAAATGTTCATTGTAGCAATAAACCAGTGATTTCCAGGGGTTGGGACGGGGTCGCAAGTGTGAGATGATTACCAAGATAGGAAAAATGAATTCTATTTCTGAGCATTATCTTTAAAAATTGTACCATGTGTCTTTTTGAAAGCTAAGATTTAGACAGTTTTAAAATGATTTGAAAAATACGCACCTGAGTTGGGGATGTATCTTGGAATTCCTGCTTTCCAGGTTCTTTGCTTTGCCAGTAACCACATCTGTGGAATCATTTTCTAAAAAGGAAAAAAGAAGGGTGAAATTAAAAAACGTTTAATAGGAACAGCATTTTTTATGTAGCAGTTCCCTAATTCTGCCTTTCGATGTTACTGCATGGTTTTATTATCATAAGCAATAAATCCTAAACTGCTGTGTGAACCTTCCAGGGAAAATGTTTTTCCTGACTGGCGGTGACAGTACCACTGGTTTTATGTGAGCCATAATGCAAAACAGAGGGGTTGTTGCACTGTTTTTGTTCTGTCAACACTAAATGAAAGCCCTAAAGGCCATAACCATGAAGGTAAAGAGCAAAGGGTAGTAGCAGAGAGCTACATAAAGTATTCATGCCTTGACTGTAAGTAAAACAAGGCAGCAACTGCAAAATATTCCTTCAAACCTCAATCGAGAACTTTGCTTCGCACATCGCACCATCATCTGCGTATGTGATAATAATGAAGCCACTGCAGATAAACTATCAGGTTATCCAGGACGTTGATTGTCGTCGTTTATCAGGGCAGAGGCAGATCAAGGTCATATAAACTAAAGGCCCGAACATACTCGGGTGTACTATAAGCGGAGCAGACTCCACGAGGAATGTCCGCAGTCATTCGGGCTTCCATAGTTGAGCGCACTTCCGCATTGTAGTTTACTGTAAAAATGTCCGTGAAACACACTACATTACCCACAATTCTTGCTCATCGATGTGAAAAATACATGCCAAGCAGTCACTGGTACGTGGAGCGGTGTCCGCGCGGTCGTAAAATCTGAGCTTTGCGCGCACGGGGCTTGCGGACGTCCGCTTTTGGTCCGGGTGGCCCGGTCCGCCCAAGTGTGTTCGGGCCTTTAGTCATGAAGCTCATTTATTGATGTTTCACACGCACTCACAGGATAGGGTTTTTTCAAACTACACGTTAGATGAATGGGTTCATAACCTAGTCATATCTGCAGGTCGGCATCCAACCGCTTGGTTTTGGTTTATGATTTTAAGTCAGTTCTGTGTTTAACGGCTTTGATGATGATTTATTTCTGCGCTATTAGATTAATATGTTTATCTTTGCATTTAATTGGCTTTCCATGGTTTCTTTTGCGTTTTGGCCTTCTGAGGAACCCAGTTTTTTTACACAGTTTTGTAGTAAAACAACATCTCTCACAAATTATTTTCTTTTTAGATGTTCATGTGTGTCACTCAGTGGCTTCTCACCGTACTGTCTTCTTTGAGCAGAGACCAGGTGATAAACTCCAGCAGGGGCAGCAGGTTGACCAGACGTTTCTTCTTCAGGCCCAGGGAGCGCAACACTTTACCCAGCTCGTCGCTCTGCACACCACAATTCTGCAAACACAGGCACTCATTTTTAAAGCTGCAAGAATTAACACCTTAACAAAATAAGTGACTAAGTCTTTGTTGCATGAGAGTAAGTAAGTCAAACAGACAAAGGTTCATCTCTGTTGACGGTTAAGAGTACTTAAATCTTTCCACAAGTTTTTTGAGCTTTCAGTTTTAAGTATAGGACTTCTCACCTCAGTCGCCATTTGCAGCTCCTTGGCCCACTCCATAATCCTCATATGGGCCTCCTCATTGGCGTTTTTATTTTCATTTTCGTCACTCTTGGATTCTGAGGGCATCTCCTTCAGGAGCTAAGGACACAAAATCAGTAAGGTAAGATTGATATTTTGCTATCATAATAATTTTTCTGTCACAACCTTAGCTGCCACAAAACTGCACCATCTCCTTGTCCTGCAATATTTTTAATTAAATTTTCCGTGCCTTAAAAATACAGCCTTTCACATTCACATAATATGCAACATACATACATAAAATTGCTGCACTGACGGAGAACAAAAAACATCGAAACAAGAATATTCCTCGGAAACTGCATTTTCCACAAAAATTGGCCTTTAATATGTAAGTTATCCTTTCTAAGGGAACACTTGATAACATTTGACTCATTCATTAAATGAAGTTTGATCCGTAAATGTTTTTCCATAAAAGTGTCACATTTTTGGTGTAAAGCAAGCTGTCTTTAAATGCTCATTAATTTTTACTATAATTATGTTTACAAAGTTTGCACCTTTAATCTGTAGTTGATTAGTTACAGTACAGTCTTTTAGCACCACAACACTCGATCACACCGGTGTGCACTGACCTTGTCGACATGGTGGAGTTCGTCAGCCCACTCCAGGATCAGTTTCCTGCTCTCCTCAAGACTGCGCTCAGCACGCCGGTCTGAACACTGGGCTTCTGTCTTACTGGTGCCCTCTCCTGGATTCTCAGTGCCCTGCTGAGACACAACACCACACTGTCAGACAATGTCACACACTGTTAAAAACAAAATGGTGTGCTGCTATGACCATTAGATGACATGAAGAAAAATGACAGCCAGCTCATGTTGACACAGTTTCAAGGCCGAGGCTCGGGAAAATTGGGCTACAACAAGCTACGCTTAATTATCAGCGTTCAATATGTCACCTGTGACATGCTTTCCAAGAGCCAGGTTAAAGTCATATGAGCCCCATACATAGATAACGTCTTACGTGACGTGTTGATGCCCACCCTACGTGTCCCAGCCCAGTGTCTCAGGGCAGAGGGTCATGTAACCTTGGTGTAAAAACGTTGTTAATCACGTATCCTATCAGCATCCAGATAACCTAGTCACTCCTCTGCATGACAAGGCAAAGTAATCATTTCCTATAGCAACGCTTATACAATACACTAGTCATAAATACTGGTTCACATAAACTCATGATTCTCTAAAAATGGTGTCACAAATGCAACTGTGGGTATTAAATACTTTTGTAGGCGTTATCTCCAGCTATGAACAATTTTTAGTGGACTTTTTCCCCTGAGTTGGCAAACAACAAGCTCCTGTATGAAAAGAAAATTGAAGCACAAGCAAACATCAGTACTTCCTTGAGTCTACAGTGGACGTGTACACTTTTCTCTGCTGTCTATTTGTTCTCCGCCCTCTAAATTTACACTCTGACACTGCTGTTGAGCCACTGACTCACATTTTCCATCCTTCCCTCGTGTCCTACCTTGCAGACTTGGTCCACTTGCTCCTTCCAGTGATGGATGAACTGCACACACTCCTGCAGGCTGCGGAGATCCTTCAGGCTCTTCTGATGAGGGTGATGCTGCAACACAAGAGGTCAAAACTGAATGTTCATTCCTACTGTAGGTTTTTTAATGTCAGTCAAAAGCCCAAATGGGAAATTCAGACAGGTTTGGAAGAAGGAAAAAGACATGAACAGACATCGCAGGAGGAACACACATGAAGTAATCTGAATAAATTCAAGTATGTTTGAGTGTACCTGTGAGTGTTTGGTGAAGTTGACGGTGGGTCTGTTGGGGACCGAGCTGTGAATCTGGACGTCCTTCTCGGGCAGGTTCCAGCGCACGGCCCCGATGGAGCTGCTCTGGGTGGTGCTGCTGTCACCCCCCTTCAATATGCTCACTCCTACAGGGTGACAAATTCAGGAGAAGGCGTCCTCTCAGTTAATTACAGTTTTACTTTTCCAACAAAGTAGGTAAAAACCAATGTAATCAAGTATTGATACTTCTCGCCTTTCCAACTTTGATGATTAAGCTTTACAGCCACAAAGACTATAAACCATGAATGATATTGTAAACATTTATGAGCATCTGATTAAATACAAGCTCCATGATATCACAATATCTTTCTACTCTGGGCAAAGGTTGTAAGTTATGAAACATGCACGCGGCAGAAGAGTGGCACTGGCAATGATTGAATAAAGATATACATACTTCTACCAGGTTTCAGGATACTCTTCATCTCGATGGTAGCGCCCTCCATCCTGTGGAGCAAAGAAAACGTGAACAAATTTAATAAAATAAATGCTTTGTGATCAGTAGAAGAAGAAATAAAAGTAGTATACAGCAACATACAAGTTTTGCATTTGCACAGTAAGTAACATTCGCAACTTTAAGTATCAAAGGTAAAATAACCCCTGTAGGTTTTACACTATTGATTTTTATAGACTGATGGGTAGTTTCACCTGTCACAACAGGCCTATAACATATGTTTTAAAATATTTCCATATTTACTTTCTTTTTCTTAAGAAAGTTCAACAAGCAACACCTGCCGAAACAATTTTCTTATAATAATGATAATTTTAGAATAACAATTTAAGACCAAGGCACGACAGAAGATAAAAATTAGGATGTAATTAAATAGATTTAAAATTATAATAACAGTAATAGAAGTGAAACAGAGTGAAATGAAGACTTAAGTACAAGAAAAAAAGAGTAAAATGACAAAACATCAATAAAAATAATGGCAATAAAATACAAAATAATAATAATAATAATGATAACAATAATAATAATAATTAAAAAAAAATAGTATTAATTTGAATGGAAAAAATAGACAAAAAAACAAAAACAAAAAATATATTAAAACAAATAAAACTGACTGAAAAAATGAAATCAAAAAACAATAATATTAACAATAATAAAATAACAGATAAAATCAAATTTAATAAAATTTTACAACATAAATAGCACAAAGTGAAATAAATTATGTAAATAATGTTTAAAAATAATTCCTAATCAAAGGTCTGGCTTAAGTTCACATCTGCATTTCAGGAATGCCTGATAATCAATTTAAATGCCTTTTTTTTAAGGTTTGTAATCACATCCAAAATAAAATAATTGAATCTACAGTGCTTAATATTCACCACATACATACATCTGTACCTACAATGCAAAATAATTATCCTAATATTATGTAAAACGCCATGAATTCAGAATAAAATGTCAAAATATGTCATAACTTAAGCCATATCACACAGATCTGCACCATAGACACACACAGTATATTGTATTAAAGCTATGCTGATATTAATGATGCCATACCTGTTCTCTGAGGGAGTGTTGGTGCAGCTCTGCTGGTGGAGAAGACTGGATGGGCACCGCTCTCCGCTCAACGTATTTGTTCCTCTCTGCGCCTCCCTGATCTTTGGACTCTTTTATGGCCTCTGAAGCGTTGAGGGAAACTTTCTGCAGAGCTGTCTGACAAGAAATCTCAACTGCTTCCCGGCAGCTGCTGGCACGCTTTCAGTGAGGGCAAGAGAGCGTTTTTATAACCGTTATAAGCCTCTTCATATCTCTGAGTGACGCACATGCTCTGATTCTGCAGTGAGGTTACTGTAACTCTTCTTTTACATTTACTGGTATTATGTTAATGGTGCATATTTTTATATAAAAGGAAGCTGAGATATAATTGCAAAAACAGATTAACTTCTAATAGACATCAATTACTGTGTAAAAATGATTATTAAAACACCTTTAACTGTGTTATTTAATATTAAACATATAAATAATAAATAATATATAGGCCTATATATGTGTATTAAGATAAAAAATATTAGAAGAAAAAATAATTTTACAGCAACAGCACAAGGACTAAACCATATTATTAATATTTTACAGCATGCACCGGTGCATTTATGTAACGTTTGATGCTAATAACAACTGCAGGCCTTGACATAGATAATGTTGATCCTTAAAGATAATTGTTGTTTTTTACTGCAGTCAGTCATATCTCCACTTTAGCATAAACTGCCATAAAAGGGTAAAAGGCTAAAAGCATAATAAAGGTATGATCATAATCTTATGTCATGTGTAAATGAAAATAAAAGTCATTTCTTAGGTAGTTATAAACTTTAGTCTTTTGTATTTTTTCCCCCTTTATTTCTCTCTCTTGTGATTCACAGTAATTACGCTGATATTGTGGCTAATACTTTCTATAAAAAAAAAGATATTTCAAGAAACAATCCTGGTTCAATAAAGAAACCCTCTTTGACCCCCCCACACACACACACACACGCACAGAGCAGTGCATTCGAGGTATGCTTCAGACAGCATGCTCGCAGTGCAGGGAAATCACAGAAATGACTCAGTTACCCTTTTGCTTCCTGATTAGCTACTGAAAGAAATGTCTAAGCAAAGCACACACTGCATCATACTCTCAACTGACACAGTCACCCTGCTCTCTTGACCTGCAGGCCATAAATACATCACACAGGACCACATTAGTTATTATTACATCCAGTAGCTGTTACAGCAGACATAACGTGAATGGTAAGGCTGCTGGAGTATATGAGGACGCACGTGCAGCTGCAAGGCAAGTTTGAACAAAGAGATAGTTCAGCTTTATGTAAGTCATAAAAAGGCATTAAGGCAGGATAGGAAAGAGACAAGGTGTTACAAAGAGACACGTATAATAGAATTAAAAACGATTTTTAAGATGTCAGGAGGCACAGTATTGAAAGCTATGGCCTGGCTATTATTTGCTCAAAACACTGAAATCAACAGGCCTATATTTGGGACACTGTAACTAACTGCACTCCCTGAAGAAATACTATCATATTTTTGGGAAAATGAAACAGTGATTCCAGAGAGAAGCAGACAGAGGGGTCTACAGTCTGTGTTTGAAGGATATATCCAGGATGTCAAACTGACTCAGCAGCAACAACAGGTTAAAAAGACAAAGATAGTTAGAAGCTAAAGCCGAACTATAGGCTACAGATCACAGTGTAAAAGTGAACCACCACATCACTGCTGATCGCCACACAAGACAATGAATATAAAGGGAAACTTTGCTGATATTGAACCAGCTGTGTGGCATCGCAGTGTGTGCAGAGTGTTTGGCTTTGCTGATGACACAGAGCTGGTTGAATATGAGCAAAGTCTCCCTGCTTCCCTTCACTGGTTCCTGTACAGCAGGGTCGGTCTTTGATTCACTGTTATAACCATTAAAAAGCAAAAGCAGCATGTGTATACATTCAGTAGGCTATATCTTCAGTAGCTAGCTAGCTAACCCTACACTTTTCAGGGTTTGATTTTGGTTTTGGAACAGGGAAGAAACGTATATCTTTTTCCAACCTCTCCAGGTAACGAGTATCTTTAGCAATAATGAGTTTAAAAAATGATTAAAAAACCCCACTGATGTAGAAATATTCATTCACACCGAAATTACTGTCAGTTGTGTAAATATTTAGATCCTTATCCTGAATCCTTACCCTCAATATTAGGACAGAAACATGAGTCCTTCATTTATGTTATTTGTTCGGATACAATTTAAGTAATCTTTCCTTTTTTACGTGCATATTTTTTATATTTTGCTAGAAATTTTCCATTTTAGTATCACTTTCAAAATGGCTTCTCATTGTAATCCATTGCTGTCACCCACCTTTGCTCACTTATCACACACTTATTACTCACACTATCAAAAGTAAAAGTAGTGATAATGTGGTAAAATGTGTGAAAATATTGTACACAGTGTTGGGGAGTAACATGTAATGGTGTTATGCAGCTTTTACTGAGGAAAAAATATGTGATTAAATTCCAGCTACTAACCAAAATGTTGGTGAGTACGAAGTGGAAAAAAGACACCAGACTTTACACTTTCATTCTACCCTTTCTGATAGATGGCACAGTTTTAAAATAGTCTGACCCTTCAACTCTTTGTTAGAAGTTAGAGAACTGGACTAAAGATACCAGGCTGAATTCAGGTACTATTGGCTTTAGAATTTTGAACAGAAGAGGAATGTGGATGACAACCTCACTATATATGATCTTATTCTGAGGTATATCCTGCTGTAATATGTTCTAGATGATAATGAGAAAGTAATTTCTTGTTACTTTTTAATCCAGCAAATGAAATACCTGACAAATCAAAGGTTTAACACACACAGAGACATCAAAGGGATCGAAACAACAGTATAAACAGTGTGGTAAAGTTCTTTACGGTTGATGCTGCAACAATTGGAAGATTATTCATTTGGTTGATTGATAGAAGGTTAATTGGCGACTACTTTGATATTTCTAAGCAAAAAAGCCAAATATTTTTGGGTGTTATGCTTCTTGAATGTGAGACTTTGATTATTTACTTTCTCTAGCTGTAGATTTTCGGACTGATGGTCAGATAATAATCGACAAAATCAAGAAAATAATGTTCATTTGCAGCGCTGGCAAACACTGTCTCACAGTACACACCCATGAGCCAGAACATTAAAACCTCTGTTTTGGTAAAATCTTGTGCCTATATATATATATATATATATATATATAGAGACTATAAGACTCTGCTGCTTTGCATCTTTTCGCTATGCAGGAATGCCTTATTTTGGTATATTTCTGGACAACACAGGTCAACATCAAATGTATTAAGTTACATTACTCTTATCAAGTAATTGAAATAGTTACATTACATAACATTTTACCAGGGTAACTTGTAATCTGTAACCTATTACATGTCACAACACTAACTATAGGATTATTATTACTGCTGCATTCATGCGTAAGCAGCATTAAACTGTTGTAGCTGGTGAAGGTTGAGCGAGTTTAACCACTTGATATGCTGTTGGGTAATCTAATCTACTGCCATGCATTATATTCTGTAGTCAGATATAAGATAGCACGACATATCTGGGGTACAAGTGCGTCAAGCTGTTACATAAGATCAGCATTTGATCAAATGTATGTGGTTAAATTCCAACCGCGATTACAGTGGACTGTTAAGTAATCATACTCAGTTATTATGTCCAGGTAATATTCACACTGCCATGACAACAGAGAGGGCATAGTTTAAACATGAAGGAAAATGCCGTCCTGGAAGCGTGGCCGAACGTCTCAGCAAATTTCAAAAGAAACTTTTGGAGAGGAAAAAAGAAACTCAAACCACTTCCTGTATAAGTAGCAGACAGTTTTTTCAGATTTATTCTTCAAATGCAGGCAAATCTGTGACGCTAGAACAAATGTAAAAAAAAAAAAACAATCCAAACTCTTTAACTTTATAGTCTTTATAATCTCAACAGAAGAAACTTGTGTGCATTTATAAAAGTGGCATCACATCTCTTAGTCTATCAAGTCCAAACAGTGTGCTGTGTCAGCGCGGTACCTTACAAATATGTACATACAAGTTGATGCATATAAAAAATGTATTTTGTAACAGACACTGTCTCAGATTTACAGCTTCTTGTCGTGTGCAGGGTTAGTCAGATGTTCCCTTGAAATGTTTCAGTTCCAGTTCTTGAAGAACTGCTTGAAGATGATGGTCTCCTTCCCCTGTGGCAGTATCTCCACCTGCAGAGCAATGCACAGACACCGTCACTGCCTACTGTGTACATAAAGACGTTACAGTGGATGTGCTGTAAATGATCCTTTAGAATCATAACAAGCTGCTGTAAAGGATGCAGGAGCCAGAGCAGATATGATAACGTTTACAAGCTGTGAGCAGTACCTGTGTTTTCATCCTGGGGTAATTCATTTGTTCGATGAAGCCATCCGCCATCTGTAGGGCCACCTGCTTCTCATCGGGATTTGCTCTGTTACCTGACAATCAACAGCTGATGTTAGCACTGGCAGTTTAAGAGATGCAGCATATTGCTAGTGTCCACCTTTGTGATCACAGTAGTGATCAAGTAGATCCTCGATAGCTTCTCTTCCTGGTGTCCACAGGAGAAAATGACCGCAGCAATTTCAAGTACATATGTCAGTATTAAAGGTCCAGTGTGTAGGATTTTATCTACTAGCAGAAATTAAAATATTCATAACTGAGAATGAGCCGTTTATATCAATTTAAAAATAACGATACCAGTATAACAGTGCCTTTAAAGTGATGCTGATAGCAGGAGTACTTCGTTAGATCCCCAAATTTAAATGGAGTGGCGTGTAAACTGTACAACTTCAGTGATTGGTCTGGGTTTTTATTTGCTTTAATTAGAAAGTGCTTTAAAGGGACAGAGAGAGAGAGAGCCTTAAGACACTTGTTTTACAGCACAGGAGGATTACAGAGCCCAGTATACCAACACAACACCTCTCTTTATCCTCTTAACACAAATGACGCTGGCCACCAACGTTATTAGACATTTGTTAAATTTAGGTTGTGGCGTCTGGAGACCAAAGAAATTGAGCTCCACAGTTGGGAAAGTTGCGAGAGTCCACCCGGCCCCACGCACACAGTAAGAGGGCTAACTGTTAGCATCATGGGGCTTTTC